CAAATCTATGGATCCCCAGTTCATCATGCAATTTGTAATGATGTCTTAAGGATTTCTGCCAAAAAAATGGCATAAAAGCATAGTCTCACTGACAATTGGAGGAAGCACCTTGCTGATTTTGTTTGATCTGGAAATTGCTAACCCATGTTAACCTGGTTGGTACTTGAATGGAAGGCCACCAGGAATAGCCTCATTTGGGAAGTGAGAAAAAAAAAAAAATCCCAGGAAGCAGTGGTGGGAAACCACTTCAGCTTGGCTTCCAAGAAAACCACTTGATGTGTCCATGAAATCTTCAGGAACTGAGCTTGACTCAAAGGAAACTTTATCTCACTCTGTAACAACTTTTCTCAACCTAGCATCCTCCATATGTCTTGGAACTGCAACTATAATTGGCTGAAACATCTGTGTTATGTGTGAGAACTTAATTGTTCTGTTCCATTAAAACAACAGGGGTGGTATCGTGGTATCTTTCTTTAGCATGGGAAGTTAAGAACTTTCTCTCTCCACTAACCTGAACTTTACTGCTTTTCTCCAAGTCTTTTGCTCTGATTCAGGCATACCTCCTCAGAAATGAGAGCAGGATCTGATGGCCCACAGTGGAGTAATCTTTAGGATGCTAAAAACTGATTAATGGCTAGAAAAAGTGTCACTTTTTAACGTATCTTTTCTTGACCACTTATAAAGGAATACATACCTGCCACTTTTACTTGTAGCTTGGCTTCAACTGGCTGAAAGGCCAGATTTATTCCCAAAATATTTTGGGTGGCCTCACAAAGTCATTGTCTCTCCAGAACATTGCCTCCATGGACAACAGTGTTCAGTGACAATGGAAGAATCTCAATTGCCTCTATTAACAGATCTTGTCCTCCACAACAAAACCCAGTGTCTCTTTCTTGGTGACTCCGTATAGCCATGGAGTATATGGCTTAGCTTCTTTGCTCTGCAGATAACCCTTGGCTGTATGTTTTAGAAGCAAAATAGGCGTTTCAACGGACTGGATGGGAAGACCTCATCCAGCCTGTGGGCCAGAAGATCCCCAATTCTGAATTAGCAATAGGTAAAATATATTTATTAGATTTATACCTGCACTATAAAAATGCCAGTTATCCAAATCCATAGTAAAAAGAGCAGCTCCTCAAATTTTAAAGGGATATCAAATTAATATTGGGTAAGAGCAAGCAGAATTGGCTCCTGATTAAAAATGTAATTAATTTAGAAATGTAAATTATGAACACAGAATAGTACTGAAGAAGCCAAGATCTGTTTAGAAGTCTGTTTAAATAAGTCAGGGTTTTGCCTGACAGTGCGAGGCCATCAACCAAGGAAAATAATTGTCAAGCCTCATTATTTATGTTTGATAGTTTTTGAAGCCTAATGGTGTTGAACTTTCCTTAACAATAGTGTGGCAGCTCACAGGGGGTAGTGTCTTAGCATTGCATTGCTCCCCATAAGAAATTTATCTTCATGGTTTAGCACAACTGAGTATGTATAAGCTGGAATGAATTGTAGAGTGTTTATAGATTTACCAGTTCAATCAATTACAATATTAATCAATATTAAACATGCATAATTCTTAGTCTCACATTTGCGGACCTACATTTAACAAACGCCCAGCTTGCTTTTTAAACAGGAAAAGAAGCCGGTGTGGCTTCTTAAATGACTTAAATGAATAGCATAGCTTTTTTTGTTTGCCAAAAAGGTGGGTAAGGTCGGTGCCATCCAATCACCTGTAGCTGATTTTTCTCCACCCCCTGAAAGCAAGCAGCTTCACACAACCTACCCTTTCAATTTTTTAAAAGGCAGTTATCTAAGTAAAATCTTCCCGAAGCTCACATCTTTCTTACTGCTCTACGCCTGAATGATACAGAACTCTTAAAACTTGAATATTATTGTCAGGTAAGTAAAGGCTGGGCTCAAAATAAATCTATGTTGAAGTAGGTTTGCAAAAAAAAATGTCCCTTCTAAGTAAGATGGAGTGTTAAATCTCAATTTGATATAAATGGATCGGTAACTTAGAAATATTCATAAAACGGATTGCTGATAGAAAATAGCATTTAAGCATAAAGTTGCATCAAAAAAGAAAAATATAAATAAAATACTTTTCTGGAGATTCTCTTCTACCCACCTGCTGAATGTGGAATGCTTGCTCCTCCTAACAAATCTGTTTCTTCTAAAGATGTTTTCTTATTAATGTTGATTAGAAATGTGACATCTGGCATATTCATATTCTAGTATCACTTTGTGTAGTGTAAACATTCAAAAGAAGCAAAAATTAATATTTTAATCCTGGAAGTTTAAATTATTTCTAAATATGCTGCAGTTAAACTTATTTAAGGATACTACTGGAATGATTTAAAAGTTCTGCAAAGTTTTTTAAACATTATTTTCAATATTTTGTAAAGGGACTTTTTTAAACTCACTTTAGTAGACGGAGACTACTAAACGTTCCCAAGAACGTTTACTTGAAAATATATTTTACTAACCTCAGTGAAACTAACTGTAGAAGAAATTTTTTTAGGATTACACAATTGATATTTTATAGTAGCATTTAGTAGGATCAATAAATGTGGTACAATGGGAAATGTACAAACTATTTTGTAAATATTTTAAGAAAGACAATAGCTTAACAAATGAGCTTTGTGAATAACACTTCAAGCTAGCTTTTCTCCTATAACTTAAAAATGGGTTTGGTCTGGTTGGAAGATGTGGGAGAGGAGAAGGCTCAGGACCTAACAATTTTTAAAAAGATAACAGATTGATGGATTATGGGAAAGAGAGTTGTTTGCTAATGACACACATTTTATAGTAACAGCCTTGACTCATACAGCCATAAAACAGTCACATAATCACAATTGCATTCCCCTGCAAAGAGTTATATGCAGAATTATGGGGGTGTTTGTACAATTTGTATTTTACAGTTCATGTTTCCGTCCTTACTGCAGGGTTGTGGATCCTTTGGAATAGATTCTGGAAGTGTGAGAATCTGTTCCATTAAGAGAGATTGTTCTGTTGATTGAGAAACTGATCCCACAGATTACAATTTAAAATATTGATTTTGGATGCTAGAAAACTTGCTACATGTGCTATTTTGAGAGCAGGTATCTGAGACTCAGAATGGGAAGCAACAGCACTATTTATTTTAGCTGTTTGGGAGTCCCATGCTAGGGAGAAAGAGGACACAGTAGCTAGCTGGTTTAATCTAGGGGTTAAGGCACTGGATTAGAAAGAGAGAAACCTGAGTTCTAATCCTGATTTAGGCATGGAAGCCCACTTTGGGCCAGTCAGTCTGTCTCAGCCGCAGGAAAAAGACCACTTCCGAAAATGTTACCAAGAAAACTTCATGGACTTGTCCATGTAATTGCCAGGAGTCAAGAGTGACTCAAAGCTCCCTTCTCATTCTCTGCTATGATGTATAGTTTCTTATGAGAATTGTGTAGATTATATAATAGCTAGGTGTGAGAAGAAAATTATTTCATACTTAGATGATGAAGGCTGCAATGGGAATGTTTAATAAGCTACAACAGAGAGAGCTTTTTTGTGGTAGAATCATAGTCTTTTCAGTTTATAATTGTGACATAGTCTTATCTTACCAAACCACCCAATTAAAAGTAATGCAGGTAAAGCAATTAACTGTTTTAAAATGTTACAGGAATTATACATGATTTGATATGTGATAATCACTATTAACATAGTGATAATCACACTATGTTAAAATAGAGTGGATGTGTCACTCAGAATGACATGTTTATGTGCAACACTGCCTTCATCGCTTTGGTGAAAGGAGCAAGATCCTGCAGACTCAGGAAGCAGGAATATGTGAGCCTGTAGAGAATGTTTTTATTTGACACCATAATAAAAAGGAGCAGATTGTTGTATCATTGTTGAATATGGCTAATCAGGCTGTAGGTAATGGCTAAAGTGTGGTGCATTGACCTGGTCCATTTTGAAAGACCTTGGCAATAGGGATCGTAAATGTTTCCTCTTTCCATGCTCATTGAGAAAGGTTTTGTTGGTAATTCCTCTCTGCCAATGACATGTCCCCCAAATCCAGTTGCAAACGAAGCAGATCTTAAAGCCATTTTACACACTGTTGCTTTTGGAGTAGCATCTATAGATGCATACATTGTAGGGGAGACTTGATTGGATAGATACAATGAATTCCTGCTTGTGAAAAGAATGTGCATTAGGAAAAACATAATATGAGAGATTAGACCAAATGCTGAGCCACCAGTTGTCTTCTTAAGCTTCAACATATTAGAGTATATTTTCAGTAGTCAACCTAACTGAAAATAGGAATAATCACTTAATTTTGTGCCACTTCTTATTTACTGTGTGTAAACTATAATTTTACTTAACTATAGCAAACCTTTGATTGAATGGACCTTGGTTTAATAGACTCTGGACACAATGGGCAACATCTGTCCATAGCTAAAATCTTGTTCACCGTTTTAAACTTGTACAAAATATTTAAAACACTTGTGTGTAAAATCTCATTTGGATTTAACAGACATTTGGTTTTTACAGATACCCCTCTCCCCCGTAAGTCTGTTAGAACAAGCATTTGCTGTACACAAATTGTTGTGTTATAATGAATCTGAAGATGATATTTTGGGTTTTTTGTATTACAGTCATCTCCTTCATTTTTCAGGCTTTTTCATCCAACATGATGACCTGTGGCCCAGCTTTGTCATTTGCTCGGTGTCTGTTGAGGAGAAAAATCGTCACTGGGGACAGCCTTGAAGATTCCAAGCTATGCCGCTGTTTATCAACTGTGGATCTTATCGCTTTAGGAGTAGGAAGCACCCTTGGTGCTGGCGTTTATGTTCTTGCTGGAGAAGTTGCAAAAGCAGATTCTGGACCTAGTATTGTCCTTTCTTTCCTCATAGCAGCCCTAGCTTCCGTGATGGCTGGACTCTGTTATGCAGAATTTGGTGCTCGTGTTCCAAAGACTGGTTCCGCGTATCTATACACATATGTAACGGTTGGCGAAATCTGGGCTTTTATCACTGGCTGGAATCTCATTTTGTCCTACGTTATAGGTATGTCTGAAAGTTGTCAGGTTTTTAGGGAAAATTCAACAGCAGCCTTCTGGCTTTGCATCCTGGCTGCTGCTGATTGCTTTGAGTAAGCCTCTACCGTTTCTGACTGATGAGGGAGCCAGAGGGGGAGAGAGGCAGATCTATACATACTCTAAAATGTATTTGACCTTGACCTGTCTGTTGGCAGTGGTGAGGATAGGACGGAACGCAGCAGGCAGCAATATGAGAAGGGCTTTAACTCATTATATGTTGCAGTGTTTCTCTGGGATGATGAGATAGAAACGATATTTGAGCTAAGTAGCAGATACTTAGAACTCAAATATAGGTCTTGAATTCCTGCAGAAATTCTGGAAACCAAATACCTTCAACACTTTGACTTTCTTAGTACATAGGATTGAATATAGTATATAAGTTGGTTACATGATCTGATTTTTCAGGCACTAGTGTGAATGAACAATTGATGTAGGATTTGTTATGTAGGATAGTGTGAATGAACAAAAATATGTAGAATTTAAAGTATAAAAGTAGCAGATTGTAGGAGGTACCATTATTCTTTCTGATTATTATTTGGAGCACAATGTTCATGTATTACATGCCATTCTTAAGAGGTAAGAAGCTTTTACAAATATATGACACAAATAAGTAAAATTGTGAATCTCTGTAGTCTGCTTAATATACTATATTTTTCCTTATCTCAGTGAGTATCTCATCAAGCATGATTTAATTAAACCAGCTTCAGTTACTAAAGCTATTTATTGTGGAATTTGTATGGGTCATTCACTCACATCTTGGAAGATGTCCACACATTATCAGTAGTGTGGTTACTGTTCCTATTTTTTCCGTACCAGAATAGATACAGCTTCACTTTCTCTTAGTTCTTCTCTTTTTTCTTTTTAAAGAAGTGTCAGTTTGACATGGACATTGCTCTGTTGGACAAGGAGCTTTCATATAATTCAAGACACATTCAGTATAGTGTGCAGTTGTTGTTTACAGTTGTGTATAGTTGTTTACATATTTTAAAAAAGTTTAAAGCTAAAATGTTTTTTCCAGTTAACACACCTCCCCCCCCCTGCTTTTTTACTTTAAATAGCATGCATCCAGCTATCTAAATCTACTGATAAAATAACCTATCCTCTTTGGATGAACCCCATCTCCCCCAAATTTGGTCAGTAAATTCTGTTGTGTGAGGAAAAATCTATTCATGTAGCCCGGTGTGGAATATCGGAGAAGTGAAGCAATGCTGTCAACTTATATCCCTTACAATGAGTTGTACCTGTGTGTGTATACTAAAGATATGAGGTCTGTTTCACGTTTGAACTGATTTTTTTACCAGAAGTGTTGGTCTTCACTTTCAAACGGTTATGCTTTGACTTTTAAAAGGTTGTTTTGATATTCATATGAATATTTATTATAAAGTAAGACTGCTACATTTATGCCTCTGTCCACTCTGAAGCAGCTTTTCCTAATTACTTCTGAAGCTCTGCGCAGCACTAATATCTTTATTTCTGTATCTGTATAAGGGATAAGCTGCCTACAGGCTACGTGTAGTCCTCATAGCCCTTATGCTATTTATTCACCATTGAAATTTGGTAGTGTAATCTGCTCCCAGTATTTGGCAATGAAAGAATTGCATTGTTCTTCTAGTGTTCATGGTGAGTGTGTCCATATGTGTTTCCAGAGTTTTGAGTTTTACATTTTTTATTTTCCCCATGGCCAATTACAGAGTCTTTGCACATAAAAGGTTGGACGCCTTTGGAATATGAATGAACAATTTACGGTTCCTTTTCATTTGGTGTCATTTTAGCAAGATGGTTTAGGCATAAGACTAGAAAGGTTTTTTGAAATTAGCGTGATAACATCATTATAGGATTTCATAACAACTTTAAAAGACTGGATGATGCTATGTTACTACAGTGAATTTGTTGTCGAGAGTTTCAGTGATGCCCTTGTGATCTGCCAAATATATCACATTTTTGTTGCTTATGTTAAAGGTACTTCAAGTGTCGCAAGAGCATGGAGTGGAACCTTTGATGAACTTCTTGGAAAACAAATTGGTTATTTTTTCAGAACCTACTTTAGAATGAATTATTCTGGTCTAGCAGAATATCCTGATTTTTTTGCAGTGTGTCTAATATTGCTCCTAGCAGGTATAGTACGCTTAATGTTCATTTTTCTTTTACAATAATCTCTGTTAAGTGAAAATCTTATTTAGTAGATGAATCTTTAAATTTTTAAATACTGCTTTGGCACATCATACATACTTTAGCATATTTTATATCGTTTTGCATGTACTATATATGGCATGTACAAGAATACAATCTGATTTAGGTAATTGCAGTCAAAATTCTAATCTTGTGCTGCAAATCTATGAATCAGTCCATTTTTCAAATGTATCCATTTACACCTGGATTATTCTACTGCATTAAAAATTAAGTGGTTAATTTTGTTTTTAATAGCAGTTTTAGGTAAAGGGCTTCTTTTAGGCCCTTTGTTTATTTGTCAATGACTGTGTTTGGGGTTTCTCCATATATTCATCAGAATAACAGTTGTATACAGGTAGTCCTTGTTTAGCAACCACAATTGGGATCAGGCACTCGGTTGTTAAGTGAAGCAGTTGCTAAGTGAAACTGCAACCCTGCTTATGATCTTACTCCAGCTTTCCTTTGCTTTACAGATCTGCAAAGGTCATAAATACAAGGATTAGTCATAAAGTTACATTTTCATCACCATTGTAACTGTGAATTGTCACTAAACAGGGCAGTCATTAAACAAGGCCTACTTGTATTCATAGCAGCTCAAAACCCAGTGCTGCCTATAGTATGGATAATGCATTATCTGCATCTGATGATATTAGCAGTCTGCATACCTATGTTTTCCACAGTCCTTCTAGCTCAGAGGTTAAGTGGCAGTATTACAGGAACCAGACACTATGCATATACATCCAATGGAGGCTTACATTGTGCATATTATATGCATGGACAAGTATATTTTTGTGTCCAATTTTCAGCTTAGTGAGTGGGTGTTAATAAGTATTAGACACACAATATGGTTAATTAATGGTAATTGTATTAGGAACATTAAGAAATCTTGTTTGTGATTAAAACATCTGTTTTATAGGACTTTTATCATTTGGAGTAAAAGAATCTGCATGGGTGAATAAAGTCTTCACTGCTATTAACATCTTGGTCCTGCTCTTCGTTATGATTTCTGGTTTTGTGAAAGGCAACATTAATAACTGGAAGAAAACTGAAGAATTTCTGATAAACTATACTGCAGAAATTAAGTAATATGGGCTTTTTTGTTCTGTATTCCCTTTCTTTTTCTCGTCTTTTCTGTTTTGAGAGCATTTACAGATCACACGAAAGTAAAAATTAGGAATCTTTGTCCACAGCCCAGATTTGGTTCATGTAGCCTCCCACCTGATATGGATGGTATACTGAAGACTGGGTGGAGGCTATGAAAATTCTATCTCTCATATTTGATGTCTGGTGATGGAGGATGCAGGGGAACAGGGATTGCAGATAGATTAGGAATTATGGGTGTAGGAATGGATTGTGACCCAATCCAGTAACATTATTTCTTCTTTGGAATGCAGTATGGCCAGATTTTCTTTGGAAGGCAGTGTTTTAGTTCCTCATTGGATATTGTAGGAAACCTAAGCAAAATACAAAGCTTGCTTGGCTGGCTCTCTCTTTCCCTTATAATAAGCCAGAGATAACATTCCTTTGGGTAGATTTTTAGCTTGTTGTTATATACAAATTGGGAATCATAACATAAAAGACAGTAGTTCTTATCAAACTACAGTAGTGGTGGCACCTGGCTGACCTTGAAAAACTAAGCAGATTGAGATTTGGGTGGGAAACTACAAGGAAATCCCAGAGCTAAGGGCTGGGTTGGAAAATTTAAAGTCTCAGAAGAAGGCAGTGACAAACCATTTCCATATTGTTGCCAAGAAGACTACATGGATGTATCTGTGAAGTCACTGGAGTCATGCTTGACCCAAGGGAGATCTTTTACCAGTGAATAACAAATCCTGGGTTATTTTGTAGGCATAATTAAGTAATTAAAGTTATGTTAAATTCCTGGTTTCAACTTAAGAATAAATTCAGGAATTTATATAATATCATTATTAGATATTAAATTCAGGAATTTACCCAAATGAAACTGAAGTTTGATTTATTGCTTCAAGTAGCATAAAGTGTGGGGGTGGGTTAAGGGACAAGCATGCTACTTTGTACAATCTTCTTTATGTTTTTGTGTGTACATGTTTTTGCCTTGTACATGCTAAATTACAGTGTTAATGGATAGTATCCCTTTGAAAAAATAAGAATTGGGGACATATAATGTACTCCCATTTACTTCACACAGCAAGGTTTGGACTGAAGTTGCAATTTTATTTGCCTGGACATGGGAAATACCTAGGGTTCCTGACCAGGCAGAAGATGGGACTGGGTTCGACCAATCATTTCAGATCTTCCCCCTCAACTCAGGGAAGTTACAAGCAACACTAGTCTTCATTTCTCCTCTTTGTTGTCTTACCACTAAAACTGGGAAGAATCCTGTGAATTAATACCCTTTGAGCTTTGTAATGTGATTCTGTTTTTCATTTGATAAGTCTTAAAAAGAAATCACAGCTGTTATGGAAGATCTGCCACAGATCTGCCATTCCCTTTTATAACAATGTATAGGCCCTCTTCATCTAGGTATAAATAATGAGAATTTGCAGGATTATAGAAAAAAATTGATGCATTTGGGGAGCACTGATACTCTAGACGAAACAGGGAAGAAAAGTTTCATTTCTATCAGGAGACTTTGCCAGTCATACTACCTTATGAAGTGGATTTGAAGATCCATGAAGAAGGCAGGAAACTCTGGTACTTGTGATATTGCTGGGTTAACATCACCAATATATGGAGTGCCACAACTGTTGAAAGAGAATAACATTCTACATTGCTTTAAGATGATTTGATAGCCACAATAAGTGATTAATAGCTAAAGTTCTTGTAAATTATTAATTGTATATTTAGGAATCTGTCATCCTCTGAGAATGTGACAAGTATATTTGGAGTTGGTGGCTTTATGCCATATGGCTTTACTGGAACGCTAGCTGGTGCTGCGACCTGCTTTTATGCTTTCATAGGATTTGATTGCATTGCAACTACCGGTAAGGTTTTAAAATTTTGATGTTTTAATGGAAATTGTAACTTAGATGTACTTGACCTATTGTGCGTATCTTCTGAACTCTTAATAGTTGCATATTTCCTCATATCTCGTTGGGGAATACATGCATGATATGCTCTTTGCTTTATAATATCTCAAGTTGAAGCAACATTAGCACTAAGATTGAGATCTCTGTCTGAAATGTTGTTGGTTGCTCCCAGAACCATGTTGGACGAAAGTATGGATGTGTTCTGCTTTAAGGGAGAATCCTATTTTTACACAGATGGAGGTCCCACTGAATTCCCAGTATGTGAAACTTCCTTGGGGAAAAAAAAATACCATGTATTACTTCACCCCACTGATAATTCCCCTTTTGAAAGAGCAAGGCTGGAAGCTCCATATCTTTACAACAGTAGTGATAATTACAGGATTAGCTGCTGTTTTTTAAATCCAGACAAGGAATAAGGTTGGAGAGGTAAATTTGCCACCTGGTATAATCTCTTCTTGGAAGACAGCAGTAGATTTCACACAGAGAGGCCATTGCAGTGCTTCAGTCTAACACAGCAAGAACAGCAAAACAACTTGCTGTCGAGAGAGCTTTGTCATTCTGTGCAGTTCTTTTTTTCTCCATAAAGGTTCTTCATGTACTTTCCCAATGCTAATAGTATCCAAGCTGCAATGACCAACTTGTTTATTTATTTGTTAGACTTAGGTCTCACCTTTTTCTTCTTTTCTAGAAGGTAGCTCATAAGCAGTTCTCCATTTTATTTCCACAACAGCCTGTGTGGTAGATTGTGCTGAGAGAGATTGAGTGGCCCAAAGTCAGCCAGTGAGTTTGAGAGTAGGCATGACCACAATGCGTCTTCTGAATAAACATGCATGAGGTATGTGCTCTAAATCAAATAGATGAGCACACTTCCCTGCTGTTTTTAGTCAAGAATATTTTTTAACCATTGCAACTAGAAATAAGTTTTCCAGTAGATTTGGATAATTGTTGTTCTGGGTACATCTTCTTAGATGTTTCTTTCTTATTGACCTTTTTTCATCTGGGTACTAAATCCCAACAACTTCCACATTTCATATTTACTGTAGTTGTATTTTTTTCTCTCCATAGGGGAAGAAGTTAGGAATCCCCAGAGGGCCATACCTATTGGAATTGTAGCATCTCTACTTGTCTGTTTTCTGGCCTACTTTGGAGTTTCAGCTGCTTTAACACTTATGATGCCATACTACTTAATTGATGAGAAAAGTCCTCTCCCTGTAGCATTTGAGTATGTTGGATGGGGTCCAGCAAAATACCTTGTAGCAGTGGGATCTCTGTGTGCTTTATCAACAAGGTAAAATAAGGAAAATTAAGAAATTGTCAGTAAATAATTTGAGTGAGGAAATAAGGCTGCTTAAATTTTTAATTCATTACATGTATAAAACAGAGTTGTTATGAATAGTTGTTATAAACATTGTACCTCAAATTCTGCTGGGTAACATGACGATAAGTTTTTAATCTCTATGCTACTTAGGATGAAGAAGTGAATGAGTGCACTATTTATTCAGCTAGACAGTCACAATCTGATAAATATAGTCTAAAAAGTATGCTAGAATAATACAAACTATGCATAGTGGATAGTATCAATACACTTCAGGTCTTTGCTCAGCCCCATTTTTTAAAAACTAAGAGATTGATTGAAAAGATCTGTCAAAAACTGCAGCAAAACCAGGAAGAGTCCAGTTCTTTTTAGAATTATTCAATGGAAATTCCTAAAATATTTGCTTTTAAGTGTTAATAGCTGCATCAGATTTTGCCTCAGAAAGTGCACATTCTGGTTGCATTGTCTGCTGATACAGTTTTCCTATTAAAAATATAAGGTTCAAAGCAACCCAAAGATTCTACATATTATTGAAACCAGCCCTCCTGTTTTAGTTTAAAGTAAATGTGGTTTCAGTTGATATCAAACAGAAATCTGAATTTATTTCTGAACTTTATTTCTCCTGTGAAAGACACATCCGTTTTTCTGTCTCATTTTCTCGTTACTGCCACATATACTCATTTAGTGTGGAATTTTTCTGATCACGTTTTTGAACTTTATGATTGTATTGTATATTTTTTCCTATTCCAGAACTTTCCATCCTTCTGCAGCCTCCCTAGCTGCTACTGCTTAATCTGGCAATACAAAACAAAAGCACTGGTTTTTTTCCCAGATGTAATTGAAAGGTGGGAAAACTTTAGGCTGTAGATCCTAAGGAGACAATCGTGCAATGAAATACAGGAAATACCTTGGCTATTTAACTTGGATAAATGCAATAACATGTATATCACCACTATAGATTCACCAAATTTTATTCTTCTTTGAAATATTTTTTTTAAAAACAATATTCCGTAACATTGAAGATTGGCTGGAAAAAATGTAGAACAAAGGTTCACTACAGTACTAGTCTAAATACTCGTATCTGCAAATTTGCAGATACAACGTTTGGTTTAAAATAGCAGCAATGCACTAGCTTCCTAATGCTTCCATAAGCCTGTTTGCTAATAATGCTGAGGCTATTAGCCAATATATTTTAAATTGGCATATGCTGTCAATATGTGTAAACAGTCTCTTCAGCATGCTAACATTAATTAAGTTGCCCATTCTAATGTAGACATGATATTCCTAATATATGAACCATAATGATAAGATTAGAACTTACAGTAATGTTATGGTCTCCATTTCCCTTGTTTAGATTGTTCTAACCATTGTGTTTCATTTATTTATTTCTTAATGTTAATCGAGATTGTCCTTGTAACCAGATTTTAATTGCAGTGACTTTGTAAATCCTGGTTAAAAGACAGTCTGATTAATGTTGGCACAAATATTGTGGAATTCCATAGTATGACTTGGAAAGGTTAGAAATGAGAGAATGGAGGCGTGCAACTTCATATCATAATATCAGTCTTAAACATGGCTAAAAAAAACCCCAGAAATGTTATGTCTGCATTAGATCAAAAAGTTTCCTTAGCTGTTTAAAAATTGCTTTTGTTATTTAAAAAGTATCTCACAAACCACGGTCAAAGAATAAGAAGTATAATTCTTTTCTTCCATTAATTATGCTCAAGTTCCATATAACTAGTAATGAGGAGAAATAAAAGAAACGTACTGCAAAATGAAACTTCATAAAGTTCACTGTTGATAGGATTAGTCTTCATTGAAGGTTATATAATAGACCATTCTATTTAAAGAGAATGGCATGTCATTTCAACTTATTTAATATGTCATTTGTTATTGATATTTGTGGGTAAGAATTTAATGACTGCAAGGATATTTGTTGCCTGTTTTTAATTCTGCTGCCTGATGCAATTGTTCAAGATATGATGATGCTTAATTACATTATTCCAAGATATATCCTATTGGTACATTATTTTGGAAAAACTACAGTGAAAACACAAGTTACTTTAGTTATTAAAGTAAAGCTTTAATTTTAAGGTAAAATTGGGAAGGTGTGTCCATTGAAGCTGAAAGTTGGTTAAAGCCAAATCTATATAAATTATCTAAACTGATTCAGCAAACACTAGACAGATCAGTTGTTTGATGAAACAGTATTCATATTTTGTCCATTGCACCCAAAGATCTGCTGAATTGGATCCATAAAATTGAGGTAGTTGTGAATATTTTATTGCAAACTTTATGGTTGTAGAACCAGTCATTATTCACCTTCAGAGAATTAAATCAAGATATTTCTCCCCAATTTATAAACATACTTGTAGGAAATATCTCATGTATCATACAGCATGTTCACAATAATTAATTAGGATAATCTCTTTTTTTTTCTTCTTAAAGCTTTTTGACCAGTCATCACAAGTCTGGTTGATATGGCCATAATACACTTACATTGGCTAGATGGGGGAAAAATAATTTGGGTTTGGTTATTGACACTGTCAGATGTGTTTTTATTTGAAACAAACTTTATTCATAGACCAGAATGATATAAAGGACAATATAGTAGATATCAACACAAACCTATACTATAATAACAACAATAATAATTTATTTGATTTAGGCACTGCCTGACTCCAGAATGACTCTGGGCAGTGCACAATAGAATAAACAAAATAGAATACAATATGAATAAGAAAAGAAACAAGATAAATAAGAACAAGTACAAATATACTACAGTGTGATATTGTCCAACATCTCCAGATGTTGAGGAAAATGTTAGCACGCATTGATCATGACCTACATTATATAGTCTGTATGATGAATGAGATTGGGGTGAATCTGATATTCAACCCATGAAAATAAATGATCTGAATCAGATGTTGGAACCAGACTATAATGCCTTCCAAAAGGCCTTAGACTATAATATAGGTCTGCATATTAATATAGTATTTTAGATACCATTTAAAAATCAATGGGAGATTCAGAGAACTTGTATCTTAACTGTAGTATGTCTTGTATACCATATCACCCTTTGCCAAAGTCACATGTTCCAAATCACTTTCTGTTAATTAGCATTGTTTCGCTTTTCTATAATGAATTGCATGAATTGGTGTTGGCCATGTTGCATGTTCTTTTGCTTTTTATTCAGTCTCCTTGGATCCATTTTTCCCATGCCTCGTGTAATCTATGCTATGGCAGCGGATGGCTTGCTTTTCACATGTCTAGCTCAAATCAACCCCAAAACGAAGACTCCGCTTGTTGCGACTTTATCATCAGGGGCTGTTGCAGGTGAGATCCTAAGTGAATGTGTTGTAAGGCTGCCTTCGTCCATTACAGCCTTCAGAGGGATAGATGGACAGTTACGATTGTGTTCTATTACAACTCAAATTATAAATTGCGATTCTCTGGGTAAAAATAATATTTTGCCTGTCACAAACATTGTCGTTGGAAATCTTGGATACAAGTGCATTTGACGGAGAAGGTGCACCCATTTCTACCCACGTCTGTATTTTGGGTTAGTTTTGGTGTTTAATATTATTACTGCAGCACTTGAACAATTACATTTTTTGTTCTAGTCTTCTGGGCTCTATGTTTCCTTTGCCTCGCATTCTGTTTGCCATGGCACGAGATGGTTTGCTCTTTAGATTTCTTGCCCAAGTGAGCAAGAGGCAGTCTCCCGTCGCTGCCACATTGACAGCAGGGCTCATATCCGGTAAGCTCTGTATATTCAGGTCTCTCACCGGGGACCTATTTTCCCGTGCTGTGTGATGCGATGGGCCTGCTTGCTAACTGTTCGTGCATGTAAATTGGGAACAGAAGTGCTGACTAATCAGAAGGCATGTTTCATTTCAATTGTGATGGTGGTGGTGGTGGTGGTGGTGGAAGAACAAGCTCCTTGGAGTCCTTCTCCAAAGCTTTCTCCAGTGTGAACAGTGACACTGCTCAGCACATGTATGAAATAAAGAGTAAGTGAATACCTCGATCCTTCCCTGTTTTTTCAATGTTGCCATTGCACTGTGCTTTTTGTGCAATTTCCATATACACTTTTCCTAAACCAATCTCTGCATCTCCTCTTAAGCCATGTTCAACAATTTAACTTTTGCAGAAGGAATGTGGCATGAAAGCTATGCTTTCCCCCCCTCCATCTGGCACAGTTGCAATCTCAGTGTATATAATGTCTCCAGTTTAAACAGTGTTAAGTTTAAATGTTGAATTTTTCATAAAAGTTGCCAGTTCAGATTTAAACAGTTGAAAAAAGTGCTGATTATCTTTTGCTCCCATAATATAGACCATGCATTCAACAGCAAAAAAAAAAAGCAGCCAACAAATAATATCATTATAGTAGAACTACAGAAGAACTTTTTTGTTATTTGAGGGATTTGTGCAGTCTCTCTAATTCTATTTGAAAGTAGTTGTTTTATATCCCTTCTTCACAACTTCCTTCTTTTGCCCTCTTAGTGGTAATAGTAGTTGCATGTTACACTTGAACCAACAGAGGCTGTGTTTCATCATAAACAAGAGTCTGATTCTGTGATTTGAAGTGTGATTGAAAACTCTGGCTAAATAGTATCTTATTTCTTTTAATCGTGGTACTAAACCACAGGAAATTTTAGGAAAAAAGACACTACTTGAAAATCTGGTTCTTGTTTCATAAACAAGTAATATGCCTGCAGAAGACAATGTGACTGATTTTCTTTATTCTTAACAGTCTGTCTTCCATGTCTTTAGTAAACAGCCCAATATGTTTTATCTCTTTTAACACTGTTTAAAGAGGGATGGTCTTTTATGAATGCTTGACAGTTCAAAATTCTTTGCATGAGCTTTCTGCAAGAAATGGAAGATTTAACATGGGCATAGTTTACCAGAATACTTCCTATCTATCTGTATCCTATCAAAATAAATACTATTTGATCCAAAATATTACTTAATTTGTTCAGATGGGTCATTCGCAATAGATTTTGCTTGAAACCTTTGCATGCTTTTTAAAGTTACAGTGGTTTTCATGAAGAATAGGGACTTGTTTTTTGCTTTGTCCACTTTGAAACCCAAACATTGCAAATGATTTTAGAATAATTTTTAACTCAGCAAAAGCTTTCATGAATGAATTATTTATCTCAAATATGTTATAAAAGATTGCTATCATGGACAAATGTTAATGGTCATAAAGCAATGCTTCATCCTATTCAAAATGTATAAGATTATAATTTGCCTGAGACTGCAAACAGTTCCAAAACTCTGAAAACAAATATTAAATGCTTAAGCATATGATGGTAAGAAATATATATGCTTTTTTAAATACAAATTATGTTTGTTTTCTTCTAGCTCTAATGGCTTTTCTCTTTGACCTAAAAGCCTTAGTAGACATGATGTCTATTGGTACACTTCTTGCATACTCACTGGTAGCTGCTTGTGTTCTCATTCTTAGGTGAGTTCTGATATTGAGTTAATTAAATAATTTGCAAAGTAATTTTTCTCTAATAAGTTCTTACACAGTTTTGTTTCTGCCTCAGTTATGGAAGCAGACAAAATATTTAAATACTGACCTTGTGCATGAGATCAACATAAAAGGATGTCAGACCATGTGTGGTTCCTATATTTCTGCAGATTTTAAAGTGAACACAACTATGTATTGATGGAGATACAACCCTGGGGAAAATCTGTACACTGAAGACAGTGGTTGTGTTACCTAATTATTCAGCTGACAATCTAGTGCAGTGTTTCTCAACCTTGGCAGCTTGAAGATGCGTGGTCTTCAACTTCCAGAATTCTGGGAGGAAGTCCACACATCTTCATGTTGCCAAGGTTGAGAAACACTGATCTAGTGGCACTAAAGGTGCCATGCTGTCCTCAGAAACTTTAGCTGGCATCTGCTGATCTTAAAAAATAAATTGTATAAGTGCTTTATGCTCTCAGGTGAGATTTTGTGAGATGGGCGGCCATATAAATTTGATAAATAAATGTCATAAGATTTTATCATTTCAAACTATCATATTAAAAGAATAAATTAAATTATTTTAAATGTAATTTAGGATTGTCCAGAATATTGCACAGTGGTCCTTACTCCCTGAAAATGTTGCTGATCCCTAATCTGAATTTAAACACTGTATCTAAACAAGTGCTAAGTAGAATGTATTCTAGAACTAATTTTGTTTTTACACTGATTTTACATAAGCAGCCTTTGTGTGCACACACAGGTACCAACCCAGTTTAAACTATGAGCAACCAAAATATTCAGCAGAAAAAGAGGCTCTTGCAGGATCAGAAAGTGAACATAAAAGTGAATCTCAAATTAGCATGATACCAAGACAGAGTTTTAGTCTACAAATGCTGATTAATCCATCAAGTTTACCAACCGAACAGTCTGCTACTGTGGTTAGCCTTCTTGTGGGTCTTTTGGGTAAGTCCAAATCTGTAACTTCTTTCTTCTTTCTTTAGCTATAAGCAAAGTGAAGGTAAAAGAGCAGTTTCATATATTTTATAGTAAATTAGTCCTTTGATTCAAGTCTGAAGAAGGGAGGGAGGAAAAGAAGGATTTGTGTGTTCTGCATATGAATCTAATATATGGTTCTCTTTTTTTGAAGGTTTGAACCTCTAGTTTTTGTATATGTCACAAATTTCCAGAGTTTTGAAATACTATTATGTCTTTTCTTTTAGCTTTCCTGATTTGTGGATTAAGCATTCTGACAACCCATGGGATTCATTCACTTGCAAATATGGAACTTTGGAGTATTTGTCTTCTTGTGTCTCTTTTCATACTATTTGTGATGATTATGTTTATTATCTGGAGACAGCCTCAGAATCAACAGAAAGTGACATTTATGGTAAGGGGTGCTTGTGGATGCCAATTTTTCATTTTTAGCAAGGAGGAGGAGTGTGACCTGTTTTGCTTTTATTTATTTATTTGGGGAAAGTTGCATGAAATGGTGCGATCACTTCTGCAGTTTTGGTGTGAACATAGATATGTAAATGTTAACAAATGTCATAACAATTTACTATTGGCAACTTTGGAGGTCCAGAAAAGAGCCAAAGGAGCATCTGAGAAACTACACATAAATCATCTTTGGTAAGGTCCTCCAACAGATGGTCAAGCAGCACGTTTCTGAGCATTTGGATAGGATGCTACAATTAACAGAACCAGTGTGGGTTTGTAGCAAAGAAAGTAGAGCCTCTAACTCAAAATGCACATTGTAGTATAAAATATGATACTATTCACCATATTAGATCGTTACTCCACCTAGACCAACTTTCTCTAAACATTTAAGTTGCCAACTCATAATTTTTCTATCTAGCCTGGGATTTTTTATGAATATAAAATACATCTGAAATCTCTGTTTTTGTGTGAGCCAATGGTGTGTCTTTGGACGCTACTGTGAAAGGTCTCCTGACATTCAGAAGTGGCTTCTGAATCCTAGAACACCCCAGTGCCTATGAAGGGCCTTGTGCACTGGCATTTGTTCCTCCATCCATGTGTGCTTCCTTTGCTATTTCAAGTGACATATTTAGGCAATTATTTCGCTGAATAATTTCTCTAGAAGTGTAATTCAGATTGGGATCATGTTTATGGCAGTCCTATGGAAAAGAAGTTGGTTCCGCTCTAGTTTTTGTGTTATATTGACATATCTGTGCTTCCATTCCATAGATTTTGAAACTAACGTTTAATTAAATGTTACAAATTTTAATATGAAGTGAAATTGCTGCGCATGGGTATTTTGGTAAAAAAATACATACCGTGAAATATTTATTCTTAGGTGCCATTCTTGCCATTCTTGCCATCTTTGAGTATCTTAGTGAACATATACTTGATGGTACAGCTAAGTGGAGAGACATGGATCCGGTTCAGCATCTGGATGGCACTTGGTAGGTATTCTTAAGAATTAAAAGATTTGAAGATAGCTTGGTTTATCAACATTTCTAATATAGCGGTAGGATTTGCTCTGCTAGATGGTCCTGGCTTATGATAATAGACAATGTGTTAAAAAGCAATATATTTGGTTTTAAGGAGGGATCCCTTATTGAAAGAAATCTTCTTGGATTTGGGAAGCTGTAAGCAAGACTCTAATCTTCCATTTTTTGTTAATGTACTTGAGGGCCTGCACCAATAACAGTTGATGTCTGGAGCCATTTCAGTATCACTTCAGGCTGAGATTTGATGATAACGTCGCTTTAGCCTTTCTGATAGATAGGAGAAATGGAGCTTGCCTCTCCTCAGTAGTATAATTATGCAATATTTATTATATATTACACTGCTTTTACTAGTATATTGTTTTTGTTGTTTTATAGCTTTTAGTATCACTCTGTAACTTCCCTAGAGAAATCAGATTGTCACAGAGTTATTGGGCAGATATTATCATCATCATCAGTACCAGTAATAATAAACCCCTCTTACTGGCTTTTATGCTGTAATTTTTTAAAAAGAAGATCCTGCTTAACTGCTGTTTGGAAATGTTTTATGAACGTGTTTAACCAATTAAATTATTTTAAAGTGTTCATGGAGATTTATTTCAATCCTTGCCTTTATGTAGATTTGTTTTAATCCTTGCCTTTTTTTGTACTGTGGCTTCTGGCCGTGTGCATGTGTTTACTACAAATATTTGCACGTATGTGTGATACGTGTGCATATTGTTGGGGAGAGGGAAATTTCTAGAACTGGTTTCAGCTGCCTTTGGCAACCATAAGCCAATAAGGTGAGGAAACTGGTCATGACATAAAATTTTTGTTTGTCTTTATTTTTTCCTGTCTGCTCTTTCTTTTGTGGTGTGTGTATGTGTATATGTCATAAATGTAGGGTTATCTTTCTTTTGCATAAATACAGTAAATACTCTGCTTCCAGTTATTGCTAAAGTTCATTTTGTATCGGTTTTCACCTATATGCTGTATGTTGATAGACAATAAGAATTCCAATCCAACAGTATATGGAGACCCTCTTGCATATAAATGTTAAAATAATATTCAGGTACTAGCTTGATATATATGGGAAAGAATCTGTATACCACAGTCAGAGCAAGTCCAAAATCAAATTGTAATCTTCAGTAAAGTTGTAGAAAGATAACTGAGCATATGACAAGTCTAAAAACTCATTGGTTGCTTTGTTTTGAAAGGACTCCTCATTTACTTTGCATATGGCATCCAACATAGTATGGAAGGCTGTCCCAAGGAGGAGGAGGAAGATGATGACAGCTGCTCAGAAAGAAGTGAAACTTCAGAAAAGAAGCATATGGGAGATACAAGTGAATATGAACATGCAAGTGAAAATGCTCAGTTTATTCTACATGAAAAGACAAGTGAATGTTAGGGATCATTGACCAATCTATTGTGTGTGCTTTCAAGCAGTGATGGCAGCAGAATGGAGTTGCTGGAGAAATGGTGAAATACTTGCTCCCCAAAAATCAGCAGTAACCCACTTTTGCTTTATGGAAATATCTGCTAGAATACATGAAAGATGATCTAAATTAGCTACTAGATGTCTCTTCCAACAGAGACGTGCCTCAAATGGTTGTGATCTTTAAAAAAATGAGCAAGAAAGTGGAGGGAAATAAAATTTTCAAGGGGGCCAATCTGATTCATCTGTCATGTTCAATAAGTTGGTGATTTCCTTAACAACATCCTCCAACTTTAATTGGCAGGTACTATATAACTAATTCTTTAGGAGTATCTAAAGAAGAAGAGTTGAATATTATGGTTTATAATACTGGAGTCATGTTCTTATTGTGTTTTTAAAATAGGGTAACATTGCTAAATAATCACACGACTACTTGATTTCCATCACTCTCTCTACCTTTCCACACCTTGTTTCTAACCCAGCCACCTCTTTTGTGGTATCTTCTTCTGTGTTATTGCTCCATCTTGTCCATATCCTATGAGTGAGAGCGGCTGAGGTTATCCTTAGCTGTAAATTATATCAGGGGCAGCCTCAAGCTGTATAAACTCAGTTATACTTTGTCATACATTACCTTCAAGGGGAGTGAGGTGATGGTCAGTGACTGGGAACAGAGCAACCATGACAGGATAAGGGTTGGCAAGAAAGATAGCAAATGTAATTCAATACAGTTTTGTGCTGATTTAAGGATGAGTGGAGATGACTTCAACTCAGCAGCAAGGAAAGTCCCAGATTCATAGAAATTCCTGGAAGAAAAATACAACTATCCAAGCTAACTTCTGCTTTGCCGTTATAAGGTAGTCCCCAGTTTAAGAATGAGTTCCGTTCCCAAGGTCTATTGCTAAGTCAGATTTGGATGTAAGCTGGAACAGTATTATTGTTTAATACTGTATAAGTAGTACTGTGTAATGAACTCAAACCATTATGTATTTAACCCAAGTCATTGTATATTTGACTTGAAATTTGCTACAGTAGGCTCTCTTCTTAACTATGGGTTGTCTTTCAACTGGGCATTCTTAAACCAGGGACTACCTGTGTCTGTAAGCAATATAAATTATGAACATCCTTTTGTTAAAAAAAAAAATTAGGAACAGTATTTGGAATGGATATATTTCATAGAAAAGCTAGTTTGAAATTCCGTTTAGATCAGTTCTATTCCAAGTTCTCCATCCTTGCCAGGAAAATGAAAAATGTGGATGAATGATTAATTCAAACAAATGATGAAGCACTAGCAAAATGGCAAGTCTGTGGAATTCAGGTTGGTGAAATGCTGATATGTCTGTTGACTTGCTTAATATATGAATATTCTGGGCTCGTTGATACTGCCAGAGTTTGGGCTGCAGAACTGTGCACCCCTATATTACTTGGTAGATTATTCAGTCAAATATAGAATATAAAACTTGTATTCCAAAACTGGCTGATTTTGGGATGTTGTGAGTAGAGTGAGCATTGAACCTACATGCTCTACTGTCCTGCTCCAGTTACAAAGAACTTGGAACATTGCATTTAGGTCATTAATGGCTGTTTGCACATTTCATCAGATCCTTAGCAAACTGTAATTCATGTTAACTCATTTAAAATGTCAGCTTCAAACCATAGTTTATAAAATTAATTTAAATAATCCACAGTTAATAGGAATAAAAGTGAAAGGTGAAACATGATGTTAGATTGGAAACGAAAGATTGTTCTCTCCAGTCACTTCAGGAGAGGGGAGCAGGCAATGCAACTTTTGGACCTATTACAGCTTGTCCTCATCACAATAAACTATGGTTTCTCTATGACACCCAAACACAGCCATTAGATTCTTCTTCCTATCTAGGAAATAGTACTCTTCAGAATATTCTTTTGTCATCATGATATAATATTTATTAAATAACTCATGAATAAATTTTTATTTTTGTGATGTTCCCTCTGTTTATGAGATAGAGGTATGTATATATTGGAGGGGGGGGGGAATGAAAAAATATAGTTCAAAGAAGTTGTAGCAACACTAATATTTAAGCGTGATAGGTCTTTTTTTAGTTTAGATAGCTAAACATAGGTCTTTTTTTAGTTTTGAGATAATGTATGTTTACCAACAAATGTAGGCACCTTCTTCAGTGCTGGTGCCTATTGCTGACTTTACCTTTTGGGTATGATTGTGGCTTGACACAGTGGCAGACGGACAAGTTAGTTCCCAGCATACCGTTTGGGGTAAGGCAAGATACTGAACCCATTTTAAGAAGCAATCTATGTGTCAGAGTCAACAAGTCCCAAGGAAAAGATTTTTTCTTATGTCCGAGAGTGTTCATTTCCATCTTCCTTTTTGACCATGTAAGGATTTTTTTTTAGTCTTCAGGTTCTTTTTCCTTAAACAACCAATAAAAGACTAACAAAGGTAATGAATAATAAAAAAATCCACTTCTAATTATATGTTGCTTTAAGATACTTAGTTTGCATTGATTTTTCCGACTGCAGCCTTATTTATATGTAACTTGTGAAACCAATATGTCCTTGCAGACATTAGTGAGGATGGCAGATGTGGAAGCACAACTCTTTTCTTTAAAAATGTAAGCATACAATTTTAACTTAGCTTTCTATGCCCAAGCTTACATAAATGGCTACAGAAATATGCGTGCAGTGGGGCGGCAGTTTGAAGATAAACTGGGCTCTTACCACAGATATACTCAGATCAGAACACTGAAATTCTACATGTGCAAAAAACCCTATAAATCTAAATATATTACTTGTGTTATTGCTTATAAAACAGGCAAGCATACATGGGCTTTAAAAAGAGTAGTTTTTTTCTTTAAATGTAATTTAAAGAAATACTCACCTAACTATCTGAGAGGTACTTTCAAGGAAACTGGATTGAAAAGTAGAGAACTAGTTCTTTAAAATTTTAAGAACCAGGTCTGGAAAAACAAACAAGCTTCTGACTGAAATTTTGTGTAAATTATGTTATATATCATTATTTAGGACCATACAGTTTAGTTCTCCTCATCCAATTCCAAACTCTTGTAAAACTAGGTGGATGATTTAGTATGGGAAGTGAAAAGAAAACCAAGGAATTTTTTTGCATCTACATTAGCTTTTTAAAGTAGTTATTTAAAATTCTTTTAAACTATTTTTATACATTTTCCAGATATTTTTTCATAACAAATATGTCTTTGTTTTATTTAATTTTAATAGAAATATGTACATTGTAGATTACTTACACAAGCTGTGAGACAGAACAAAATTTAGAGAAACCTTCAAAAAGAAGGTTCAAAATATGCATATTCTGGACTGGGCCCAAAACTGATGATGAAAGAGCTTCTTAGACAAAATTCCTTCTAAATGAGAAAGGAAATATTTCTAATTAAATCTGTACATACATATTTTAATATTTTTTGGAAAAGGCCACAGTGAAAATAAGCATGGCACGCAGTTCTTTAGGAGTAAAGAATTATTGTTAGACTCTAGGTAATTATTAGAGTCTAGGTAATTCTAGATTTTCATCACTACAGAAGCACTGGAATACATTTCATGTGCCAATTTTTTCATCTTGCAAGTAAATGCCTCTCTACCAGGCAAATAGAAAATGTTAACCCAAATCCAAAAATGCTAGGGAATTCCTGGACACTTGGCATTCGGACATCAATAGACGCATAGAGATAAATCACATTTATTCACCATTCAAAAGAGACAGTAAAAAACCTGGGAAGGAAACAAAAAGACCACAACACGTCCACTCCAGCAGCCCACATTCAGATAAGCGGGGCTTAACACCAAACAATCAGGCTGCAAACAATATCCTAATCAATGAACCACCAAGAAGGAAACCATACCCCCACCAAAACTGACAGGGGAAACAACTTTATATAAACAGGCAGCAAACCCCACACTCATGCTGATGATGTCACCAAGTTGGGTAATGAAACTTCTGCAAGCAAACAACCAAGCTCGGAGAGCACCAAGAATTTCACAGAAAATGCTATATCTAAGACATATAAATAATCATGTTAGATCAAAACCTTCATACAGTTCTTGGAGTTCTTGATTTTGATGGGTTCAGGTGGCTTTGCAGTGACTTTACCATTCATTCCATTGATAAAAGCTGAGTGATATGCAATATTCCTTGGCAGAAAAAGATTTTCAGGCCCATAGTCAAGTACATCTGGGAGTAATCCCTAAATGCACATATTCTCTTATTAAATGTATTACCTAGTGATACTAATATATTTAATAAGAGAATATGTGCATTTAGGGATTACTCCCAGATGTACTTGACTATGGGCCTGAAAATCTCTTTCTGCCAAGGAATATTGCATATCACTCAGCTTTTATCAATGGAATGTTATCACTGCCAAAATGCTTCTCATTGATGACATACAGAGGAATAGTCATCCCTGAGCAATTAGATCTGTGAAGGGGAAAAATGGTTCCAAGCTAGGAACAAAACAGCCCAGCTCAAAGCATTTCATTGGAATGTTTTCAGTAGGTTGTATTCCACAGGGACAAAACTCAAAACTTTCTGCGTGTTCCATATAGGGAACGATGGGAACTTGACACAATCCCCTCACTGTCTCATATTTCACCCTACAGTTATGAAAGTAGAGTGCTACCTCTCACTCAACCTATAGAAAAATTGGGCAGGGAATTTTGTTGTTGTTCTTCAAATGCAAACATTTTAAAACCCTTATAGTAAACTACAGATACAACAGTCAAGCACACTGTTTGCACAAGTGCTTGCCATGGAATTGAGCCCAATAATGAATGAAGAAGTTGCAACAACAGATTGACCTTAGCACAGCCCGTGAGCAACAATAATAGCAAAGACCCAGCTCTTTGGCAATTATGTTGGGGATTCTTCCTCATGCACATGCTTGCACTGTGCACACACTTTGCACTTGGCAGCCTGAAAGCTCAGCACATGCAGAGTGCCCACTGCTGCATGTGGAACTTGCTTGAAAAAGAAACCATAACCCCATAAGACAACATATTATAACCCGTGAATGCTAGCTTCCTCATAGCTGAGATTATAGAAGAAGCAGTAGACTTGCCTACCAGGCAGGCAGCAGTCTTCCTGATGTTCACAGATGTTCTTAATCTGAATATGCACTAGACAGAGCATTGGACTAAATGATCTCCAGGGTCCTTAAACCTTACATTTTATGATTAATTCTGCTTCCCTCCCCTCTCAATCTGCCTCAGCCAGTGATAATATGGAGGGAACTTGTGTATGGTGTTTTATTGGCTAATGCACTTCCTAAATCTCAATAGCTAGGGGCTGTTAAAAAAATCAAGCCAATCATGGGATATTTGAATGCTCAAAACTATGTGAAATAAAATACCTTGTTTGTCCTGGGACAAAATTCTGGAATATGAAGTGTTTGTTCTGAGCTGAGAAGACTCAAAATGTCCTTGTGGAATGTATTTCACACTTCTAATTTAAATACACTTGATTCTCTTAATGGGTTCCTGTGCTGAGTGGTTACAGCTGTCTCTTGAAATTGCTCTAATTAGTGCTGTTTTTTAAATTAATTCTTCAGTATTTTCCTGTATCTCATGACAACGATGATTCACTTGCCCTATCAAAAACTATAAGCCAAGTACCATTCATCATTTTCTAGTACCCAAAATGTTTCTGTGTTCATCTGTTACGTTACTGACCTGTGTCCAATTATTGGAAACACAAATGCTTTCTTAGGTTCATTTCCACCAAAAATTAATTTTACTTTAATTGTTGGTGGTTTCAAGAATGATGTCTCTTAATGTCCAGTCCATAATGTCCATAATGTAAGAGGAAATCATTTTGGAATTGAATGCACATTTGGATCAGTTTGGTAGTTTTCATTACTTGAAAATTATGGAAAACTTAAAAAGTGTTGTCAACATCCAGCCTTGTATCTTTTTCTCAACTACATCTATATCTACATATTTTTTGGTATGTATATGGAATTGGCTGAAATATTAAGTATTTTCTAAGGAACCAGGACAACGTAGAATGTTGAAGATCTCTATCAAAGGCCACTGTGTTTAAAGCAGGTCACAAAAGGATCCACAAAATATCACAAACCACTAGGATAAAAATGTGAAGAATCATTAATATAACCAGCTTTGGTTATATTTCTACACTACCCTGAGAATAAGCCCCATTAAAATTGAAGGCATTTACTTCTGAATCAACGTGCCTGCAATGCAATAAATAGTTTCCATGCGCTTATGGCTGAGCAATAATAGCTCCTCTGTTTTTAATAGAATAAAAAATGCATTTATATTTTGCCTGCAGTCACTCTTAAAACACGTAACTTTGGTTGGATTATATCCGATGTGATCACTTACTGTACTTACCTTGAATCAAATATTAGCACTATAAATGAGTCTAAGCGAAGATACACATATATAGATAACAATCTGAGGATTTCATAACTTTTCATAGCTTTTATTCTGCGTAATGCAGCATTGAGTGAAAAAGTGTATAAATTTATTTTATTTGCAACTGTATTGGCTGAATCCTTACCCCAGCTACAAGCCATTCTTTCAGAAGGTCCAAACATTTTTAAAGACATCTGGTTATAAAACACGGATTTGTATATTGATTTTAAATTTCATTCTCTAGAAACAGCATTTTATATGTATACCCCTTTGTGTGCGTGGGAGGGGGGATTCAGTGTAGACATTTTACTATATAGGAAAGGATGTTTTCATACAAATATATTTTGGAGTAAATTTCACTATAATGGGCCTTGTGTAGGGTGACTTGTAGTAGATCAAGGTTTCTGTAAGTACCTTTTTTTCTTTCTGTTCCTGGCAAACCTCCCATAAAACTGAGCTGAGTGGGAAATTTGTGGAACTAGAATAGAAGGAACCTTGTAGCAGGTCACACTCTTGACAGTTCTAACATTTTATCCAAAGTTAGCTGTGTCACTGCCTCTGTATATATGAGTAGATAGATCATTGTAATCATTATTACTGTGTATATGTTTGTTGTTTACTAAAGGGGATAATCTTTTTGTAAACATTAGGCACAATCTTGTGTAAACTAGAGGAACTGAAGGAAAAGAAATCCACTTTTATTTATGTATAATCACTTGCAACATGTGAAATGGTAAATAAAAATAAATTGGTGCTTTGGGTTTTTCACGTTTAAAATAAAATGCCAGACTGAGAAGAAAATGTTCTTGCTGGTGTTGACTGTAAAATGCTGCTTGGAAGAGGGTTGTGCATTTGTTCTCTTATTTTTTAAAATAAAACTGAAAAAAAATAACGTTGCATAGGTCACTTCGTTGTCCTTATTTGAGGTTGGGGTGAAAGTTACAAAGTGGCATAGAGAAAAAGACATTTATGTTCAAATATTGTAAAAAAAAAATGCATAGGAACTTAACCAATGCTCAATAAGCTTTTGATTTTCATTTTAGTAGTTTGCCACCTTGTAAATAAGAAGAGTTATGCAAGCACATACTGGTGGTTTCATAAAGTATTACCGCAAGTGTGGCGTCGGTCCATCCATCCATCCATCTGTGGCTCGCCATATGAATTTTTTTTTAAAACGTTCAGGAATTGGAAGAATTGAAGCGTTGTCTCACAGCTGTCCGGGGTCTGTCTGTCTCTGCCTGCCTGCCTGCCTTTCTTCCCTCCCTCGGCGCTCGCTCCCCCCATGAAGCGGGGGCGCCCCGCGTCTTCTTGCTGCGTCGGAGGACGCCCCCGACCTGAGAGCCCATC